CTGAAAGGTTGGCAGGGCCTGGTGGATGGGGGCTTACATGTGGCTGCCCAAGACCTCAAGTCCCAGAGGCCTTGGAAATGAGCTCTTAATGTGTGTGCTCCAGCGAAAATGCTGGGTTTAATCCTCCCTTCAAGTTACTGTGCAGCCTTGCAGGAGTGCGGGCCAGAAATTGGTGTGGCTGCCGGCAGGCCCAGAGGGGCCGTGGGACTGTCCAGTGCTTCCAGGGCTTTCGAGAGCCCATGTGTACCCTGTGACCAGCCTTGTAGATGCCAGGGTTAAAAGTTCACACTATCCCAAAGCTTGGAGATGAGAGCTGAAGAGAACCTTCTCCAGCCTGGGAGACAGCGCCTAAACACACCACCTAGCTCCACTGAACCTGACCTTCTCCAGCCTGGGAGACAACACATAGACACATAACCACCTAGCTCCACTGAACCCTGAGACTAGTGTATGTTTTACATTAATGGGTTAGAATCAGCTCCTATATTAGAGATGTGTTCCAGTTCCCTGAGGCCACAAAGCCAGCAGCTCGGAGGAGAGTGTAGGAGTCCCTCCTCACAAAAGCAGGCAGCTACAAACACCATTTATAGCTCTGTAGGCTATACTGAGAACCCACTAGACCTGAGAAGACATTTATTTTCCCACTTTAACACTTTAGAATATGCCAGAGGTGAGCATGGTGGCACATGACTGTAATCTCAGTACTTAGGAAGGTGAGGCAAGAGGATTGGAATTCAGGGCCAGCCTGGGCAGCAAAGTGAGACCCCTGTATAAAACAAATACGTGTAAGGAGTAGGGGTGTGACCCGAGTGGTCTTTCCCACACTCATGGCCTTGCTCTGTTGACAGCATCTGGGGTGCCTCAACTGGTGGAGCCTGTGCTCTGGGACTATGGAGCTGACCTGGATGTCCACAGCAAAAGTCAGTACAGGTTGCTCCTGGTGCATGTGCCTGCATGATTGTTTCCTAGTCCTCCATAACCCTGTAACCTGAACTCTTCAGCCTGGGAATACAGGCTCCTCATTTGGCTGACCAGCATGGAACAGAAGGGCCATGCAAAGCCCCCTGCTGGCTCCAGGTTCTTTCCTGAAAAGTTTATTCCCAATGAGTGATAAACCACGGGCCATATGGGAATGGAGTCTCTTCTCTGCCAGGGTAGCAGCTCTGGGCTGCTCTGGTTAGGCTGTGTATCCAGGGCCTCTCTCTTTCTTTTTTTTTTTTTTTTACTCCTACCGGCGTGCGCCACCACAACCGGCATCGGCTTGTTTTCTTACCTAGTCTTCCTCATGGGAAAGTACCAGGAGTGTGGCTTCCAGAGGCTGTGGGCTGCCAGTGCCTTCAAGGGGGCCACCGGGGCGAGTCAGGCCCTGCCGCCTATTGAGCACCACGTTAGAAACCATGAGCAGTGGCTCCAGGTGGTGGTCAGTGGGCCAGTGGATACTCTGCAAGGAATCATTCTGACTGGCTGGCAGAGGTAAGGTCAGGCCGAGTGTGGAGAACAGTTCCCCTCACCCATGACGGCAGCTGTCAGTGTTGGCCCTGCCCTTCATGCTCTTCATTCCCTCGTGGCTGAGGAAACACTGACGTGCTCAGAACCACAAGCACGCGACCCCCTAGTCTCTGTGGTTTGCATGTTCCATGAATGATACCGTACGTCTCACGTAGCATGGCACGAAGATTAGTTCTGGTTCTTTTAGGGTGTCGCACCCTTTGAAAAATAGAATGAACCCAGCCTTTGGTTCTGGCCAAATCCTAGCATCAGATTCCACCCTTTGAGCTGGACCAGTCAAAGCTGGCAATTTTGCTAGAAAAGCTGGAAAGGTGTCCCATGGAGCCTTCACAGGTTCCAAAGTGTGACTACAGAGCAGGGTTCTCAGCCAGGTGAGGCTGTCTAGTGTGCTTGTAAAGAGTTGCTCATGGCTTCAGTCCGTGTCTACTGCTTGGCTTCAGAAACGGTTCTAGATGGCTCATGAAGACTTATCAAGCATTTGCCATTCCAGTAAAGTGCACTAGGGTGTGAGTTACACCAAGACTCATTCAGAGTGAAGCCTTTCTATGCCTTGCATAGTGGTTAGTGACTCACAGAGGTAAAGGAAAACTGAGGGGGCTGATGTGATCTCTGGTCCCTGGCTCTTTGATCAGCCTTCACCGGTCACACTCGAGGAACATCTCTCTACCCCTTACAGCTAAAGAAACTGAGACCAGGAGGTTCTCTGCCCAGCGCCAGAGGGGTCAGATGACCTGCTGGACCTTAGGGGAAAGCATGAGGTCGATAGATAGGATGCAGACCACAGAAAAGAAGTAATAAAGACTGTGGAGTGGACCCAAGTACTCACGGCCTCTTTCCCCTCACAGGCTCCTCCCTGGGGCATCATAAGAAACCTAATGTAAAATCCCATGACATGGAATCCTGAGCCAGGCTGCCCACAGTGGGTCTCAGCCTTGGAACCCCTCAAACAGGAGAAAGAGTACCCAGATCATGGCATCTTCATCATGATAAGATGAATTGAGGGCTGTGGCGCTGAATACTCTTCTTCTGGATGTAGGTACGACCACTTCTCTGTGCTGTGTGAGCTGCTTCCTGTGGGAATCCCTTCTCTGGCTGCCTGTCTACAGTCACTTGTGCATGGTATGTCCCAGCCAACAGTTTTAGGTCTCTCACCTACCCTTAGCTTACAGGAAGTGGGAGGCCAGGTGCTGGTTTCCCTTGACCATTCATTGGTCAGCTCCATCTGGACTGCAGTCCTTTGCAGGGGAAGAAGACTCATGTTTACAGTCCATCCACTTGCTTGTCTGCCACTGGTCTGAGATTGCCTACACCCAGATCCTTAGCCTGAGCTGCGGGTATAGATAGGAAGTTAGAACGGACATGCCCCACAGACTTAGAAAACCTGCATAAGAAATTCATGCTTCAGGTGCAGATGCAGAAGGTATCTTTGCTGTATAAGTGTCCTGAGATGCAGACTTCAGAACTGGGTGCTCCCAGTGCTCCTACACCCAGATGGCCTAAGGAAACAACTGACTGCAGGAGACAGGCATGGGCACTGCTCAGAGCAAGTGTAGGCAGTGGGCCTTGATGAAGTAAATCATGCCCATTTAAATTATAAGGCCATGTAGGAATTTACAATGCTCAAAGGATGGCCACATGGACAGGAGAGCCCCCCAAAACATTTAACAACTATGGGGTAGAGGAAAGATGTAGAAGTGGTCTTAGTTTAGCTATTTTTCTGTCAGTTGTTCATTTTAAATGTCTAGAATGTGCAGAAAGACAAGCAGACAGTAAGCAGACAGCCCTCACCAGTACTGAAAAGTCATTGGTGTTAGTGGTGTTGACTTTAGCTCTTCCTGTTTCTGAGGAATGATTGTACTGGGAGCTAGGCCTCCCAACACGGAGAAGGAACTGTCTGTCAATGGCTTCCTGACAGCCTCTCGTGCTGACCTGGAGGTGTGTCTGCCCTGGTCTCACACCCAGCAGTTTTTTTGGAGTGCTCTAGAGCACTCTACCCATGACTGACACTTGCAACGTGGACTGTGTGGTGAGGCCACGGGCTCGTGCACACAGTGCTGCTACCACACCATTCTGGGTTCCACCCCGATCTTAAACAAATATCTCACATGCTCAATGAAAAAGCAGCCAGCGAGCCTGGCTGGGGTTCCCTGAGATGCTGTGCCTTTTCACCCATAGCACCCAAAGGTCAGGAGGCTTCTCTGACCTCTTCTGCCTGTGGATGGTTTCAGGAGGCTTTGCTGAGGATGTTAAGCTGAGAGTGGAGCACTTCCTTGGGGTTCCAAGCCTGGAAATAATGGATACTGTGAGGTAATCCCATCCTACCTGACATGCCCCCACCCCTCCCTCCTCTGGGGAACACCCATCTCAGTGTGACTCTCTGGCAGTGAGGGAGCTGGCTCCTTCCCTGGCAGTGACATCCATGCCCTCGTCATACAAGTCAGCCTCCACCTGCGCAGCTCTGTGGATACACTTCTGGAAAGGAACAGGTAAGTGACTCCATCTTCTCCCGGCATTGTTCTTTACAAAGATTTTCCTAAAGTTTCCCCACAGTTAACTCTTATTCACTGTTGGCTCACTAACTGTCAGGATTTGCTCCAGGTATGTCACTGGCTGGTTCAGCCCCTACCACCGCAGGCGGAAGCTTATTCACCCAGTTATGATCCAGCACATACAGCCAGAGGCACTCAGGTAGCCAGCGTCATCACATCCTCGCTCTAGAATATCCTGTCCCTTTACGAACACCCACAGTAGCCATGGTTATGGTTATCAGTGTTAAGGCAAGAAAGTTCCCCAGATACTGCTGCTGTGGATCCTGGATGAATTGATAGGTCACTGCTCATTAACACTGCCCCTAAAGAAGCTAAGTGGTTCCTGGCCTGAGACACATCATCAGCCACTCAGATGGACCCAAGACTCATCTTTGGAATCAGGCCACATATGGTCCCTGGTGGCCCTGTAACTCCCTAGTGCAACCTAGCTGAGCACCCTGTGGCTGGAACCTCTCCTAGATCAGGACTCTAAGCTAGGCTAATACACTTGTGCTGAGTCCAGTGTGCTGCCAGCAGCAGGAGCCATTCATGCCAGGCATGGTACTGCTAAAATACGACCAGTCGTTTATTTCGTCCCAGTGGTAAACTGAGGCATGGAACAGTACTGGCTCTGGGGGCTGAGGACATTGTTTAGTTATGTAAACTTGAGCTTTAGCAGGAATTCTCATCAAGTCGAGCTCACAGCTGCTGTTGCCCGCAGCCTTCTGAGCAGATGGAGCAACCTTGTGCAGCAGCTGGAGGCGGCCCTGCAGCTGGCCTTCTACCCGGACACCATAGAGGAGTGGCTGGAGGAGAACGTGCTTCCAAGTATGCAGCGACTGCAGGGTCTGCTGCAGGACCTGGGTGAGGCGGCTACCCCACTGCCACTGCCACTGCCACCCCCCCCCAGCTCATGCTGGGACACAGGTCAGAACCCCTGAGGGGCTGGGGTCCTGTATATCAGCCTGGACAACACCAAGATTCCTGCCTCAGTGCCCAGCCATGTGGGGCCTGTGATCTTCCTGCTGAACCCTGGACACCTGTGTAGACAGGCTCCCAAACTGTAAATAGTACCTTAGGCAAAGCAGAACCCAGAAAAAGGCACATGGAGATTCATTTGCAATTTGCATGTAGAGCTTTATTATGAAATAAAAAGACAGTAGAAGCAGAAGCCCCACTTACAGAAACTTGAATCAGCTTTTTGCCACCACCCTGGCTCATAGAGGGCTTCGTTCCTTCACCCAGGAATGAGTCCCAGCACTGGGAAATACAGGAAAGGGATAGGATAGCACCCGAGAGACAGACTCCTCCCTTGTCTAAAGTACCTTAAGAGCCTGTAGGTGACAAGTCAGAACCCACCAGCTATGTTTCACACTTCATTTGCGAAGAAAAAAACTTGTCTAATTTGACCATTGAAAAAATTCATTCTGCCAGGCAATGTTGGCACACACCTTTAATCCCAGTACTTGGGAGGCAGAGGCAGGCAGATCTTTGCGAGTTCAAAGCCAGTTTGGTCTACAGAGCAAGTACCAGGACAGCCAGGGCAACACAGAGAAACCCTGTCTCGTAAAACAAAACAAGCTTACTTTGACATGTTCAACCATATTCCCCAAGTCAGAACTGATAGCAGTCACTTCAAATAGACCTGTTGAAGGTTCTGACGTAACTATTCCTGTCCAGCCCAGTACAGTGGCCTCAAGGCTGCCTTGACTTCTTTGTTTACAACTCCTCGTTTTCCCAGTTCTGCCTGGCCAGGCATAGGCACGCAGCTTGACCAGAGGTCCATAGCTTTCAGGCCTGGAAGCCAAGCTTCCCGGCAACTTAGTGAACACTATACTTGTGGGGGACTTGAGTCCCTCAGAGAGAACTAGAAGAGCATAGAAGGCCATCAGGGGCTGGAACAGCTTCTGTTAGAAGAGGCCGTGCCCAGGCTGGCCTTTAACTTTCTTCCTGCCTCACTTTGTAGGGATGTGTATCGTGTGCCTGTCTTTCCCAGGTCTTTCCAAGGCTTGGGAGGCTAAGACTCAATTTCTGTAAAGGAGCTCCGGGTTCTCAAAGGCTGCAGAAAACCAGAAGAGGTGGCCTTTCCTCCACTGGCAGCTTCTTCCCAGTTTGGGTTGTGAGAGCCTTCTGTTCCTAACAGTGGTGCTCCAAAACTGGGCTCTCAGCGGTCCAGGCAGGAACGGGACAGTCTGCAGCACTCAGGCTGCCTTCAGGGAAGCCCCTGACCACCAAGAATGTCCATCTTGAGGAGGGCTGGTCCAGGAGAGGAGACATCAGGATTTATAGCACAAGTCGCCACCGTGCACAGGAGTGGGTCCTCCTTCCATGCATGTGGGTGTCTCAATCTCACTAGGTAGCCTGGGGGCAGGGCCTCTTCAAGGCAGACACTAGGCCTGTGCTGAAGAAAGACTGGCGTCTTATACCTTGGATGCCCTTGGGTGAGCTTATCCAGACCAGGCTGTGACCTAAGCCAGAGCTGTAGTCTGTCTCTGGAGAAGGCACTCATTTCTGATTTGCTGCCCTCCTCTGGATGTAGCACCCATCTCCCGCATCCTGATAGATGCCGCCTTTCTGGGTTGTGGAAGATGTCCAGCCCATGGTTCTGCAAAGCGTAGAAGCGTAAACAAGCGAAAGGCAGGTGGTCCACACAAGATCTGCCTGCACCCTCATAACGGGCAAGTCAGTTGGAGACATGTCAGAAATGGGTGGCATCTACCAGCAGCTGCTCCACGCTGTCAGCTTTGGTCACCAGGGCCATCGGCTTCACTGTCGCTGCTCTGGGACCGTTCTGAGGGGCTCTCCAGGCGGTGCAACTCCAAGAAGCTGGTGATGAGTTTGGCAATGGCTTCCACATCACTAGGCCAGCATCAAGAAAGCAGGTCGCAGGTCACCGTGGAAAAAATGCAGTCCCATAACATACCACAAAGACCCACACTGATCCCCTACCATACACCCACAACAACCCCAGGTGTCCCGAATCTCTGGCCTCAGCCCACTCTTCACAGCCCTCAACCTTCTTTTATTGCCTCCCTACAGATGCCCATAGCAAAGCTGCACCTAAGTACACACATCCCTCCTACAGCCCCATATTCCTGTCTACAAACAGCATCTCCCCTGCTGCCCCGAGAAACACCACGGGATGCCCAGTCTTGCTCTGTACCACCCTTACCTGCGTCGGCCCATGACTGCACTCTGAGTAAGGGGGTGGGAAAAGCCTGTCGCGATCCGGAGCACCACAGTGTAGCCCTTTCCAAAGTAACGGACCTTCTCCTCCTCCACATTCACATCCTGGATGTCTCTTAGCAGGACCACCACTGGGGACGGAAGGATTTACAAATGGGCAGTCGTCCATATGCTCCCCCCTATGCCGTAGGACAGCCTGCCTCAGGATGTCCCGCTCTGAACAGGAATGACATCAGTGACAAAGGCGTTTGCTCGTCCTTATCTGGACTCTGGGTCCAGAATAATTTTTTTTTTTTTTTGACTGGGTTTCTCTATAACTTTGAAGCCTGTCCTGGAACTCACTCTGTAGACCAGGCTGGCCTTGAACTCAAGGAGATCCACCTGCCTCAGCCTCCCACCACTGCTGGCCCGGAATAATTTCTGGATAAGAACACACCCAGGAGGCCGGGCGGTGGTGGCGCACGCCTTTAATCCCAGCACTGGGGAGGCAGAGGCAGGCGGATCTCTGTGAGTTCAAAACCAGCCTGGTTTACAAGAGCTAGTTCCAGGACAGGCTCCAAAACCACAGAGAAACCCTGTCTCGAAAAACCAAAAAAAAAAAAAAAAAAGAACACACCCAGGAGACTCATCACTCGTGCAGTGTTAGACAGAAGCTGGCTGTCCTGGGCAATCCTACAGAAGAGATCGCTAAGCCCAAGCTGCCATCTTCCTGCTAGCCCTTTCTGCCTGATTTTACCTATCTGGTTCCAGTGGGGTAGCCCTGCCTTTCCCTTGCACAGGAAAACTTACCTAACTAATGCATGGCGGATACTACTTTCCCCAGAGCCACCGGGAAACCTATCTCATCCCACTGCGACAGTGACACAGGGCTGACCCCGTGGCTTGCATCCTGTGAGGACAGGCTCTCAGATGTGCCGGGAAAGTTCAGCCAGTGCACTAACCCACATCCCCACAATGCTCTGGCCTCCATTGGCTGTATACTGCCACATCTGAATGCTACATCCAGCTGTGTACCGCCTGCACTCCATATAAGTTAGAGGCCTGAGGTCCTTGGGGCCTGACTCCCTATGTTAAACGCCTACTCTGAGGGTCCTGTGGGATGCACACGTTTGTAATGCACAATGGCTGAGCTGAATACACAGGGAAGAGACCTTATGTTACTTCATAGGCTTAGCTCACAAGCCCAGAAGCTCAAGGGCTGGAGGTTTCCTCTGACCACATCCTCTCTGCAGGGCTCATATAGCTGACAGGAATCGTGTCCAGGACTCGGACCTGAGAGTGGCCAAATGGTTCCTGAAGAACAGGATGACTCCCTGCTGGTCCGCCTGGTGACCCACCTCTACTGCCCTCACCCAACCGTATGCAGGGCGGGGTACGTGTAAGCCAGGATATGTCGGGAGCCCATCATTCCCTGAGCAGGTGAACTATCCAGACCAACTCCCCACTCTTACCTTGGTCATGGCCTGCTCTGAGAAGAGTCAGCAGCTTCTTGTAGAGGCTGAATGTCTTTAAGATGACCTTCCCAGTGCTCTTGTTGAAAATGGCTTCCTGCAAACCAATATATGCTGACCACACAGAACCCCAGGAAGAGGGCCAAGCTGATGCTGAGGCGTCCTCCCCACTCACACCAGCACAGACATTCAAGATGCCCAGTGGAAGCCCAATCCCCAAAGCCTCCAGGGCTTTCTTCCAGGGTCAGCTTCTGTGTCTGACCTCTTGTACTCCTGTGGGTGAGGGGCACATGAGAAAAGCAGATGGAATTCTCCTTGCATGAAACCAAGACCAGGCTGGGTAATCTGCTCAGTGGTAGAACACTTGTCCAGCACACGTGAGGACCTAACTTCATCCCTTAGTACTGGGTACTAAGAACAAAAGGACAGGCTGGCAATAATGCAGAAATCCAGCCAAGGCCAAGGGTAGGGGACTTCCCCAGAGGCAACCTGACTTTTCCCAGACTCAGGTTCTGCTGATTCCTTTTAACTATCTTGGGCCTGCAGTGAGGTCCTGGATGGTCAGAGGAAGCCCTCAACCCTTGAACTTCAAGAGCCCGGGAGCTGGTCCAAATGTGAGTTAGCTGCATGTTCTCACAGGTCTCTGCCCTGTGCAGCCAGTCCAGCCCAGGGACTATGAAGACTTGTAACAACTCCAGAAAAAAGAACTTCTGTGAGTTGAGTGTGGTGCTTCATGCCTGTCAAGAGGCTGAGGCAGTAGGCTTACTTTTAAATTTGAGGCAAGTCTACAAAAAAAAAAAAAAAAAAACAGAACCCTGGTGAAAACAGTTAAGAGTAGCTTCTAGAAGAGTCCAGGGGTATTACAAGCAAAGCCAAGGGCTGACTCCAGGTAACCCAGTGCCTCTGGGCTGGGACAGACGCTTCCAAATGGCAAGGGAGCTACTGTGCCATCTTACCTCCCAGTCCTCCAAGTTCTGTACAGCTACAAACAGGCAGCCTGTGACATAGAAGAGCTTCCAACCCAGACTATCTGCAAGCAGACATCGTACATCAGCCCATTAGCTAAAGAAGCCAAGGTCCATAGGGTCCTACCAGCCCAGTCTTCCCTTCCTTTAGCTCAGGTTAGAGGCTTAGTCAACTGCTTCTCTGCCTGCCTGGGTTGCTGGAGACATAGGCATCCCAGACTCTGCCTGAGTCCATCTAGGAGAAAGGTAGATCTACCCAGCCTTGGCATAGAGCACAGGGCACATAATTCTTCCCTGTGGCATGGCAGCGGGCAAACGCCAAACAACTTCTTTCCAAGGGCACTTTCTAACAGGAAGAAATTCAAGATGCAAGACATTGGCTGTGGTCATCCCTCAAGGCAAGGCAGAGGCCACCCCAAAGGCCACACACACCAGGACTGCTCACTGTATGTGTGTGTGTGTTCCCATTTCCAAGTACAAGGAAATTGAAGGGCACAGCATACTTTACCTCCACTGTAATAGGCGGCAGCCAGGCCAGTGGATAATATTCCTGTAGAGAGAGAAGGATTATCTTGTTAACTATAGCCCCCAATAAGCAGGACAGATTGTTCAGGGGCAGTGGGTACCTAGTGCAGGGTTGGTGACATAGACAAGGGACTGGAGAGATGGCTCAGTGGTTAGGAGCATTGGCTGCTCTTTCAGAGGTCCTGAGTTTAATTCCCAGCACCCACATGGTGGCTCACAACCATCTATAATGGCATCTGGTGCTGTCTTCCAGCATGCAGGAATACATTTAGATATAATACTTATATACATAAATAAATCATTAAAAAATAAAGGGACTGGAAAGGTAGCTAGCTTATTGGTTAAGAATATAGACTACTTTTGCAGAGGACCCCGGTTCTCAGCACTGTTGTAGGATATTTTATCACACTGTGTGAAGATGTTTAATACAATCCTGAATAGCCAATAGCTAGGCAGGAGAGAATAGGCGGGACTTCTGGGTAGTGAAAGGAACTTGGGATGAATCTAGACACTCGCCAGCAAAGGACCAAGTAGGACATGCAGAATGGAGGAGAGTAAAAAGGCAGAATATAGATTAGCAGAGCAGATTAAGTTATAAGAGCTAGCTGTGGACAAGCCTAAGCAAAACGCCAAACTTTCACAATAAGTTTCCATCTTGTTATTTGTGAGCTGGAGGCCCAAAGAAAAGTCGGACAACATTGGTGCCTGCACCCATGTCAGGCCACTCACAACCTCGTGTAGCTTCAGCTCCAGGGAGCTAATGCTCTTTTGGACTCCACAGGCACCTATATGTACCTGCATAGACCCATACATAGATACACATACAATTAAAAAATAAAAACAGGACATGCGACCCATGGCATTCACCAGACTTGTCAGCTACCCAATGAAAATGCAAATGACAGATGTCGGTATCGCCCACATGTGATGAGGAATGGAGATAAGACTGCATACAGAATTGTAATACAACACAGAGCACAACATGCAGAACCTTCACAAATCATAAGGACAGACTACAGAGACGCTGCTGCTGAAGCCACAGCCAGTGCCTCACCTCCAACTCTGCACAGCCTAGCCCACACAAGTGCAGCTGTCCCTGAGATGCAAGAGACTTCTGATAGGCAGTGATGGGGGAGAGAGTCCAGGAGGCTAAGCACACTTAACGAAGGGGAAGGAAACAGGGAAAAGGAGAAATGTGAACCCATGATCACCTGTCAATGGAAGAAAAACTAGTGACCTCAAGAAAGCAGATAGGTTGTGGCACTAGCCTTTAATCCCAGCACTGGGGAGGCAGAGGCAGGCCGATTTCTGTGAGTTTGAGGCCAGCCTGGTCTACATAGCGAGTTCCAGGACGGGCTCCAATGCTACGCAGAGAAACCCTGTCTCGAAAAGTCAGAGAGAGAGAGAGAGAGAGAGAGAGAGAGAGAGAGAGAGAGAGAGAGAGAGAGAGAGAGAGCGCGTGCAGATAGGCTGGAATACATCTCAGTGTTAAGAAACCTTGCCCAGCATGCAAGGGGACCCTGCATGTCCTCTGAAAGGCACACCAAGGTTAATGAAACATGCTCTATCAGGTCTTGTATTGAGAAGAACTTCTAATAAAATACAAAGAGACTGTTTATATCACTTTTAAGATTTGAGTTGGGAAACATTGGGAAGCCTTACCAACCAGCAGGGACCAAGACCGGATGCCTGGGGCCCTCTTCAGATGGAGGCGGGTGCTGGTTCGTGTCTCCACCTGCATGTACATCCCTGGAACCTGGGCTTCACTTCACAGCAGACTCGGCTGGGAAAGACACACAGCACCTCATCCACTCTTACAGGCGGCCAGGGGAAAGTCCACAGCAGACCCTAAACTCCTTTCTCCATGAGACCATCTCAGCCCACAATTATGTACGGGCACAGGGACTCCACAGCCCAGAAAGTGAGGCCTGGTCTCACTTCCAAACCACAGTCCCATCTGAGAATTCTTTCCTTGACTGAACCCTCGTTTTGAAATTGTGCTGTTAGCCCCCAGCAGCTCTCAGGCTTCCGGCACCTTAACTGAATCTTCCAGAAACTCCTCTTCCTACCAAGAAGGGGAACTGAAAGTGCCAGTGTCTAAGTGTCTACTATCATACTAACAATGGCCCAAATGCATCCGAATTAATGGGACGCTGCGGCCAAGACCCCTGGAGACAACACCCCAAGCCCCAGTTGTGAGTGGCTCCTTGGATACTCGGGTGCTATCAAGCTTCGTACCCCACCTACATCCTCAAGAATCTTAGTTAAGCACACAACTCGCCTCCCTCTGGCCTTAGTTACCAACAAGCTCCACAAGCGGCCCGTTCCGCTCGCTCCTCCTCCGGAGTGCACACGCCCGGTTTGCTCAACCTGCCCTGTGCCCAATCCAGGTCCGCAAGCAATGACCCACGCGGGGCATGAACATGAAAACGGGAAGCACAGCCGATCGGAACCAGAACGCCTCGGGACACACACTTGCGCGGGAACCGAGGGGTGCGTACCGAATTAGCGGAAGGGGACTAGGGAACCGTCTCTCGAACTTCCGGGCTTCTGTCCCGCGGACTTCCGGGCTAAGAACTGGGTAGGGACTTCCTAGGGGTGGAGACTGATTATGCATTTCGGAGTTGTGTCTCGGTTTGGGCACTCACGGGGCGGGACCTTGTGCGGGCGGGCCGGTCACAGGGCGTCTGAATTTTACCTGGGGCCTGCAAGGAATGGCATCACTCCTGGCGGTGTCCGTGCAGCGCGTGGGTGTGGTCGTAGGAGCCTGAAGAATGGATCGGAATCCATTCATATTTTGTTGTGGTCCGAGGCTCCGAATCAACCCAAGCAGACACAAGACGATAGATACCTCAAGGCAATACCTAATGTAGGGTGTCTGCTCTTCCGGAGGTCCTGAGTTCTATTCGCGTTAACCACTTGGTGGCTCACAACCATTCACAACGGAATCTGGCGCCCTCTTCTGGCGTGCAGACATACATGCAGACAAAACATTGTATACATTAATAAATAAATAAATCTTTTTAAAAATTGACTATAGGGCAGCACAAAAGAAGGGGGATAAGAAGAGGGTTGATAGATCAGGGCCACAGAACCGTGATCCCACGTGCCTACTGAAGCAAGTATTTAAACACAAAAATCACAAGTGCCAGGTTACAGGGTGAACTGGGAAATCCTCCCTCTGCCTCTCCAGTGCTGGGACTTAAGGTGTGTGCCACTACCACCTGGTTGCATCTGGAACTTTAAGGAAATAATAAAGACATTACACTATACACTAGTACAGCATGGGAAACATGGATTACCTGAAGTCGATCAAACAAAAGATACAAATGAAATTTGAGGAGGTTTTTATTATAGATGTAAGGGAAAGCACAGCCAGAGACACCTAATAGAGGCCATAGTGAGCGTGGCCAGCAGAACAGACCAGACGGAGCCGCGAGTGAAAGAGGGAGGGGCAGAGCGAGAGAGGAAGAGAGAGGGAGACAAAAGAAGACCCCCCAGGGCAGAGAGAATCAAGAGGCCAAGAGAGCGCCTAGTCACAACGCCTGGGTCTTATAGGAAAAGAGAGACTAGGGGGAGGGAAGGGAAGCTCAGTGGTGGAGAGGTTTAGGGTAGTGGGCCGGGATGAGAAGTGCTGAGGAGTGGGGCTTGTCTCTTAAAGGGACAGGACAGACCATTACACTCCTGCCTCAACCTCTTTGTTTTTGTTTGCTTGTGATAGGACCTTTCTATGTAGTCCTTCCTGTCCTAGTGTTGTGGGGTATCCACCAGAGAAGACTGCTTGGACATAGAAGTAGAGTCTTTAGTCAGCCGGTGACTACACTGGGTGTTCAGGAACCCGGTGTAGCACCAAGTCTTTCTCGGGGTGAGATTTTAAGCAAAAAAAAAAAAAAAACATTCTGAGTTAACATATTTCAGTTAACAAGAACAGTTAGCTAGAATCAGAACTACAGAAGCCAAAAAGTAAGGTTAGTATGATTAGTTAAATTTTAAGAAAGAAGAGGCTTTGTTTGTTTTGGTTTCTGAAGAAGGGTTTTTCTATGTAACACTGGCTGTTCTGGAACTTCCTCTGTACCCCAGGCTGACCTCAAACTCAGAGATCCTCCTACCTCTGCCTCCCTAGTGCTGGGATTAACGGCGTGTGCCACCAACTCACAGTTCAAAGAGACGCTAGCGCTAAACTAGCTCTATACCTGGCACTCATTCCTGAATGCAGCCCCAGCCAACTCAGCCAGGAGTTTTTGAAGGCAAAGAATACAAGGTTATATTCTGTTCTAATGCGACCAGAAGGTCCCCTTGTCCAAAACAAGTATTTATTACAGAAGCTGAAACAGCAGTAAACAATTAACCCTTAACAGCCCTTAACTTTTGGAAGTCAAATTAACTTTGCTTTATAGTTCTCTTAAGCACGGAAATTTAAAACTTTTTTTTTTTTTAGAAATTTAAAACTTTTAAACTTAACTTTAGCAGCCGAGCATGCCTTTAATTCCAGCACTTGGAAGACAGAGACAGGCGAATTTTTTAGTTTGAGGCAAGCCTGGCGTACAGAGCAAGTTTCGGGATAGGCTCCAAAGCTACAGAGAAACCCTGTCTAGAAAAACAAAACAAAGCAAAACAAAAAAAAATTAATGTTAGTTATCAACATAACTTTAGCCATTACAGTGGTATGTGGCTGAGTTTTACAGCTTGAATGGTTCCTTTATGTGGATTAGGTTGACCTCAAACTCAGAGGTCCTCCTGCCTTTTCCTGTCAAGCACTGAGAATCAAGGCATGTACCAACACACCCAGCTGCTTTAGGTTAGTTCCCCGCCCAGCCAGTTTTTTTTTTTTTGTTTTGTTTTGTTTTTTTGTTTTTGTTTTTTTGAGACAGGGTTTCTCTGTGGCTTTGGAGCCTGTCCTGGAACTAGCTCTGTAGACCAGGCTGGTCTCGAACTCAGAGATCCGCCTGCCTCTGCCTCCCGAGTGCTGGAACTAAAGGCGTGCGCCACCATCGCCCGGCAGCCCAGCCAGTTTTTTAAATCACTAACTTTGGAGTTCACACAGCCTAGTAAAAAATTATTTCTCCTGGTAGGTTTGTTGTAGGTGACACCTCTCCCTGTACCTGTTAAGGTCTGAGCCCACTTCCAGGTTTGAAAACCTATCAAAGCCCACCAATCTCTGAGCATGAAAAAACATCAGTCCCTTAGCTAGACATTCCACCTATCCCTGGGCTTGGCTTTAAATGTCACCAGTTCTCACCCTGGAAATCTCCTCCTTCCTACATAAACCTGTCTTCTGCTCAGTTCCCTGCTTCTCACTTGAGCAGAGGCAATAACCCTCTTGTATTTCTCCCAATAAACCATGTGTGAGGTTTGTTGTGCTGTGCGACTTTGTGTTACTCCTTGGCTCAAAACTGCCAGGATGCCTTTCCTTCTGCGCCGCAACACTTCCATAGGGGAAGCCTTCCCCTCAGAGCTGCAATAGCTCCATTGAAGAAGCCTTCCAAGCTGTAACATGGGCATGGGAATTTCCTCAGAGCTGCCAAACTTGTATTGGGAAAATCTTTCCCCACCGAGGAAGCTGTAGTAACACTTCTGTTGGAGAAGCCTGAAAGAGACACCCCCCCCCCAACAGCAGCAGCTTCCTCCCAGACCTCGGGTTAAGCACAAACCACACCCAAACACCTGTTTTCTTACAGAGATTCTTTATTAAGTGAGGGGAAAAGTTAAAATGGCTGCTCTCTGACTTACGCACAAAACAGCAGCAGGGGGCTGGAGAGATGGCTCAGTGGTTAAGAGCATTGCCTGCTCTTCCAAAGGTCCTGAGTTCAATTCCCAGCAACCACATGGTGGCTCACAACCATCTGTAATGGGGTCTGGTGCCCTCTTCTGGCCTGTAGGCATACACACAGACAGAATATTGTATACATAATAAATAAATAAATATTTAAAAAAAAACAGCAGCAAAATCACCTTGCAGGTGTAATTTTTACGATACGTGCTATGATGAGCTAGGATGTGGTGGCTAAGGAGTTAGGGGATGAAGGAGAAGGGGAAGGCGATAAGGAAAGAGGGTAGGAGTATTTGTCCTGGAGGGAGAGGAGACAGATGTGGCACACAGGCAAATGACAGTTTACAAAGGTAAAGGGGAAACCGGTGTTAGGATGAGGTGTTAACTTTAATTGGACATGTTAATTAGGTTAACCAAAGGGGGCTTTCGATTGCTGGACTTTCCTCAGGAGGAGGAAGTGACCAGGAGGAAAACCTTAGTGCTAGCTTTAGGAATGTAATCTAACAGTTTTTAGCAAAGCAGAGGGAATGGAGAGAAGAACAAGGTCTGCCAGAGCCACAAGCTCAAGTGGGCTAGTGCCCCTTTAAAGCTTTTCCTCTCAGGACAGAGCTGTAACACTTCCACTGGGGAAGCCTTCCCCTCAAGCCAGAATATTGAAAGTACCAGTGTAATAAGCTAAAATTGTTCTCTGGTGTGGCGTTTAGTGATTGAGCATTTGCATGCATGCAGAAACTCCAGTTTTGTGAGTGTAGTTGGGGGTCTGAAGGGTAGATTGAAAACCAGCTGACCAGATGCACACGCTTTTAATCCCAGCACTCTGGAGGCAGACAGGTGATTCTCTGTGAGTTCAAAGCCAGCCTGGTCTAGAGTTCCAGGACAGGCTCCAAAGCTACAGAGAAATCCTATCTTGAAAAACAAAAACGAAAACACACACACAAAAACCCATTCCATCCTGTAGGAAGCTCCTTAAGCAGGAAGGTAACTCAGAATAGCTTCTGAAAATAACCAGATTCACTAGGCCTTTTCTTTGCTCGAGACAGTCTCTCAGAAGGATGCTGAGCTGGAAAGAAGACTCTCAGATCAGACCAGCTACCTGGAAGATGTTTAGACCAACTGAGGCACCTGGGAAGGACACTCTCCAGCCTCTTGAGCTGCCTGCAGGCTGTGGAGTGTGCTCCAGGTTTCCTGTGAACCCTCACCCAGGCTCTTGTTGGCTTTGGTGATGCAGCTGTCTTTGATCATTTCTGCTCCTGTAAGTAACCCTTCACCTATACTCCTGCAAGTAACCTAATAAAGCCAAGTTGGACTTTGTTAATATCCATACTTTGGTCTGTTATGGGTTCCCTATCTGGGGTGAGCAGACGTGTATACATGTTGTGTCTCCCCAGGCAAAGTTCTGTCATACAACACTGCAAAGTAAGAAGTAAGCACATGTCTGCAAAGAGTTCAGTATGCCATAAGAAAACATCTTGCAGGGCTAAGGATAGAGCTCAGTACAGAATATTTACTTCTATTTTTTAGATTTGTTTACTTATGTTTGGGACAGGGTATAGTGGTATAGTATTTGTGCGATTTGGGAGCTGGGTGGCGGGCCCTCCAAAAAGCCAAAAGAGTAAAACATCACACAAGATACTGAAACCAGGATGTGACAACCAGCCCTAGCCTGATGGCACTGTGTGATTGCCCGCCCAGAAACAAACGTTTGGCTGTATCCCACTCATTAGAGACACTTTCCCCAGAGTGCTTTGTACTGTGTAATAATTTACACTTAACTCCCCTGTGATGGCTAAAGACACTTATTATGGTACCAGGCATTCCTTTAGGGCTGTTGACCCCTGTAATGCTTGTGACATCCTTGTGGCCTGCAGATGGGATAAGAACAGGATAAAGGCACAGGGAGGGGGTGGGAGCAGACACAGCCAGATCTCTGTGAGACCAGCCTGGTCTACAACCATGAGTTTCACAACAGGACTGTTACAGAGAAACACACACACACACACACACAGTATAATGGTGTTCCTGTTGTGAGCAATTAACTGTTTGCATTTTGCTTTTGTAATGAAGGGAGAAAAGGCAATGTTCCTGCCCAGCCATGGATTCCCTAGATAACTGTAATGCATACCTTTGATATCCACTTTTATAAACCCTTCACTTAGCCCCTCTTTCAGCATGCTGTTTGCCTCTAAGGGTGACATCCTTCTGGTGACAGTAAGAATAAATCCATTTACTCTAAATTTGAGTTGAGTCTAAATCTTTGGTCTTTCCCAGTAGATTCCAGAGCCACAATGAAAGGATAAGGCGTTTAGTCTGCCTTTGAGACAGGTCTCACTGTGCAGCAGTGTAGGACAGGTTGGCTTTGGTTTCACCTTTCTCTTGCCTCAGCTTCCTGAGTGCTGAGATTACAAACCTACACCAATAGAGGGCTGGAGAGAAGGCTCAGAGATTAAGAGTACTGCCTGCTCTTCCAGAGGTCCTGAGTCCAACAACCACATGGCGACTCACAACCATCTAAGATCTGGTGCCCTCTTCTGGCCTGCAGGCATACATGTAGACAGAACACTATACATAATAATAAAAAAAAAAAAAACCTTAAAAAAAAAGTCGGGTGGTGGTGGTGCACACCTTTAAGCACAGCACTCAGGAAGCAAAGGTAGGCGATCTCTGGGGGTTTGAGAACAGCAAGGGCTGTTACACAGAGAAACCTTGTCTTGAAAAATTTTTTTTAAAAAATTCACCAATATTCCTGCTTATGCTACCAGACTGTTTGTTTGTTTTGACAGGGTTTCTCCGTCTAGCGCTGGATGGCTGTCCACGAACTCTCTCTGCAGACTAGAGTGACCTCGAACTCAGAGATCCGCCTGCCTCTGCCTCCCGAGTGCTGGGACTAAAGGTGTGCGCCGCCATGCCCGGCAGAATTTTAGCATTTTCTTAACTGTAAGTGATATAAGGTATTCCATGCCAACCTTCAAGGTCAGCCTACTTTCAGTCTGCCCTCCTGACTCAGCCAAGCTCACAAAAGCGACGCAAGCCTGCTGCGCATGTGCACGGTTACCGCACCAGCCTACGTGAGGCTTGGCTGGGTGGTCATGGCGGTGGCAGAGGGCGGCGCCTACCCCGCCCTCGAGGAGCTGCAAGTGGCTTCATCGAGGCGGCGGGGCCTCGGCCTCCGCGCAAGGCGCTCTGCAGTCGCCGCGGACCGCGTCCTCCGCTCGGCCAGCGCACTCTTTCCGCCGCCTCCGCCTACCGTGGCCGCTCTCACCGGCAGACCTTCCCGCGGCCCGTCAACTTCCAGCCGGAAGGAAAGCTCCTCCCCCAGTTTCTGATTGGCTCTGGGGAGGGACCTGCCATTTCCTGGCCCTCTCATTGGCCTAGACGGAAGAGGAGGCGTGGGTTACCATACCACCTTCGCACTCGTCTCATTGGTCCAGGGGCGTGGCTCATCTTGTCTCGACTCTCTCGTTGGTCTACCACCGTCCCGGGGGCGTGGCCCCCGCGGATGAAGACAACAAAGGGTCGCGGGTCGCTAGCCGGCGGCAGGCGGCGGTGTTCCAGGCTTCCTCGTTCGGCTTGGCTGAGGGTGTCGGCCTCCCGCCAGTCCCGCTCCAGATGAAGTGTGAGCACTGCACACGGAAGGTGGGTGCGGCGTCCGGTGGGACCGGGGGCGAAGCCAAGACCGTGCGGACCGTGCCGCGGGTCGGGCTCGGCCGCGTGCACCTTCCTTTCTGTCCTGTCCGTCTCTGGTAGCCGTCACCTGTCTGCCGGGGACTGACCGGGCGGCGAGCTGGCTGCGGGCCACTGCGGGCGGCTGCACCGCCGGACTCGCTGTGGGGTCAGTGCTCCATCTCAGTCCCGAAGTCAAGGCTTGATGCAGTGATCAGAAATGCCTTGATGACTCTTACATTAAAACAAGGACAACAAACCAGCATACTTACAGTATCAATGAAAACGAGCGGAGAAGGAATTAAGGGCAGGCCCTCCTGTCCTGCTCCGCTGGGTGGTTGAAATGACTGACAGCCGCCACACTTGGTTCCACAAGGGATAGCCATGTGATGCTTGTGCAGGAACCTTTTTTTTTTTTTTTTGACAGGGATTGTATCATATCCAAACACCCCATAAGTTGTTCCTTTTTACTTCTCACCATAAGTGGTAATTAAACGTCTTTCAGGGAATCGCCTGTATTCTTGTGTGATAGCCACATCTAAGTGTTTTGGTATCCATTGGGTTATATCTGTTCTTAGTAAAACAGTGCAGATGGAGGTGTGTGTTTATGTGTATCCATCTTTAAATATGGGTGATTTTATTTCTGTAGAAAGGGTTTCTAGAAGTAAGACCTAACTGTTCAGGATACATTTTGTGTTTTGATAATGGAGAAATCATGCTAAATTATTCTTGGCTGAGCTTGGTGGTACACACCTGTGATCCTAGTACTTGAGAGATTGAGACAGGAGATTACAAACTAAAAGCTAGACAGTGCAATTTATCAAGAGCCTATCTCATTTTTTAAAACCTGGTGTGGTACCACACACTTTAATTCTAGCACTCAGGAGGCAGAGGCAGGAGGATCTCTGTGAGCTTGAGGTCAGCCCCTTCTACATAGTGACTGCCAGGGCTATATAGAGAGACCCGATCTCAACAAAAGCTAAAATAAAGAAAATAGAAGAAGAAAGTTCCCTTTCTAACATTTTCTTGTCTTTCTCCATCCCCTCTTTTCTTTTTTCTTTTTTTTTAAGGAATGTAGTAAAAAATCAAAAACTGATGACCAGGAGAATGTGTCCACTGATGCATCAAGTCCAGCCCAGGAGAATGATGAGGCAAGTGAACATTTGAGTTTGTGTCGGCCTAATGTGAGGGGGCGGGCTGCTGCTGCTGCGTCGTCTCCTGTCGGGAGTTCATATCGCCTTGCACTTCACGCACTAAGAAAGATTGAAGTAAGAAGTGGCAAGGGCCGTGTATAGGCCAGTCTTGAGTCATCTCACACACCAGGCCAGGTACTCCGTGAGAAAGAGGGACATCCTGGTGCGCTGTTGAAACCTGTGTTCTGTGAAGTGGAAGGGATTTAGGTTCTGTAACATGTGAAAAGACATAACTCAAGTTTCCTGATTCTTTAAGCTTGCTGTTTAAGTGGCTGTTTCTTGAGTTCACCATAGCGATGCTTGTTTTGTATTTATTACACATCACAGTCTGAGCTGGGTTTTATACCTACCTTACTCCACGCTCTGGGGGCATTTGCCTATCTCTGCATGTGTCCTGCCGTGTTCTGGATTCACAGAGAAAGTTACGGTCACTGTTCTCTTAGAAAATATTAGGACTAGTCAGGCATGGTGGCATACCAGTGGAGTCCCAGTTTGAGTCCTGTCTAAGCTATACAGTGAAACCTTGTCCCAGAAACAGTAACTGAGAGACAAGGATTTAAGTCAACAGACTGGTTGGCTAGCTAGTGTGAGGCCCTGAGCTCAGTCACAAACAGACACATTGATTTTAGTGCTATTTAGATCTCTCAGCTGGTAAAGACACTTGCCACCAAGCCTCGGGATCTCAGTGTGATTCCCAGGACCTATGAGTGACATACGAACACAAGATGACGTGAAAGAACATTCTCAAGTTGCCTTTCTACCTCTACACTAACACGTGTGCCGTGGCTCTAGCTCCCCACCACACACTATCAGGCAAGCAGTCAGTGTACAAAAACAGCTTTTTTATATAAATGGAGAATTAATAACGTGGGAGAGGTAGGTAGTGGGTTTCCCCCTTAGAGTTAGTAGTTCTGATGTTCTGTTTAATCTGATGGGCATAGCTCTTGCTCTCCGGTGTGCCATTACTGTGCTTTGGAGACTGAGCCTTTGGGGAACAGCAGTTCTGGAGTTCTGGGTCAGTTTGGGCCAGTGCTTTAGACAACAGAACTGCTCCCTCATGCCTACACCCTGTTGTAAGAAATCAAGAACTTATGACCAGGAAAAGGTGTCATGGTGTTGCATGGTGTTGGAAAGAAATCTAATCCCACTGGATGCGAGCACACACCTGAGAAGTAGAGGCCGGGTGTCAGTGTCATGAGTTTGAAGTTTGCCTAGACTGTACAGCAAAATTCCATCTCTAAACAACATGAAATAAACCCACAATCTTTTGAGGCCCTGTTTCTTATCAGTGTTGTGGGGAGTTGGCTTTCTTCCCTCCCAGGGTTTTGGTGAGGACGAGATAAGTCTGAACACCATCTAACCACTACCTGAGCAATGTAGTATGGACTTACTTGGAGAAGGGTTGGTAGACTGAGCCCTTGAGGTGAGAATTCAAGGTAGGATGGAGCATCAGACGGATGTCTGCACCACATAAATGCCCACTGAGGTCAGAAGAGGGTGTTTGAGTCCCCTGGAACTGGAATTACAGACGGCTGCTAGCCACTATTTGGATGGTGGGAATTGAACCTGGGTCTTCTGGGAGAGCAACCAGTGCTCTTAACTGCTGAGCCATCTCCAGCTTCTGTTTGCTTGCTTTTCTCTCTGAGGCAGCGCCACACTAAGCATCCCTATGGCTTGGAACTTGGTCTATACCATGCTGGCCTTGAGCTCTGTGATCTTTTCTCTGCCTCGGGAGTTCTGAGATTAAAGGCACGTGCCGTCATCTCCCGGCTTATTTTATTTATTACTAATACAATCTGAACCTAGAACCTTGCACTTGCTAGGAGAGGTGTGTCAGTCACCCACACCTCTAGCTCCTAAGCACCTTCTAGAGGAGCTGGGCAGCATAAGGAACTTAAGTTGCCAGCTTCTGTGAGGTCATTAGGGAGGGACAAGCAAGTTGACAGTGTGGGAGTAGGCACTGAAAATAAACGTCAGGATGCCAGCTCTGTTGGGGCCAAGAGGTGAGTGAGAGCTCTTTTGGGATATTTCCTGTGGAAGAATTCAAGAACAAAACCAGCGTGGCTGAACGTGAGCCCTTGCACAGGGCAGGGCAGGGCAAGGCAGGCAAGAGCTGTGCTGTGGCCCCTGTTCTGAGCGAGTGCTGTCAGAGGCTTTGAGCAGTGGGAATGTGGCTCGTGCTTTAGTGGATTCCTCTGGGGACTGAGAAGGACAAGGGTGGGGCACAGGTGTTCAGCACCCCTTTACTGAGATTGGAGTGGGGCAGTTCAGAGCTGGGAGCTGAGGTCTGTGTTGCACATGGGTGGAAACCTCAAGCCATCATGACTGTATGGAAAGTCTGCTCAACACCGTGGAGCTGGAAGAGCTTGGCAGGGAAACCTGAGGCTTGTTACAGGCACTGGAGAGGAAGGGTGGAAGGAGGAGATGGGCGTCAGGCCAGTTTGCAGCGGGCAGGAGTATCATCTTTCCACACGATAACACTGGGGCTAGTTCACCCTTGTTCGTCTGCTAAGTGCCGTCAGGGGCCTTGTGCTGTGACACGTGCCTCCAGTGCCGTGCTCCGTTCAGAACAGCGACCGTTGCTCAGTAGCTCCGCCCGACACTTCAGGCATTCAGGCATGACTTTGTGTCCATGTTAAGTGTAGATTTTTTCCTTTATTGGGCGTATGTAGTTACCCTCCCTAGAGAAACAGTGCTACCAAAAAATAAACGAAACATAAAAGCAAACAGGTGGATCTCTGAGTCTGAGGCCAGCATGGTCTACAGATCGAACTTTAGAATTCTAGGAATTCTAGGCTACACAGAGGAACCCTGTCTTGAAAAAAAAAAAAAAAGGAAGAAAGAAAAACAAACAATGTTAACACCATTTTCTTTCCTAGAAGGGAGAATTCCATAAGCTGGCAGATGCTAAGATATTTCTGAGTGACTGCCTGGCATGTGACAACTGTGTGACTGTGGAGGAAGGAGTCCAGCTTTCCCAGCAGAGTGCCAAGGACTTCTTCCACGTCTTGAATCTTAATAAGGTATGGTGTCAGCTGGAACTGATGATGCAGGCCTGTAATTCCAACTGCTGGGAAACTGAGGCAGGAGAACTGCAAGTTCAAAGTCTGCCGAGGCTACAAAGTGAGCTCAAGACCATGCTGGGCAACTTAACAAGACTTTGTCTATGAATGATTGAATGACTGAACAGCTCAGTGGTAGAACACGTATACTAGGTTCAATCCTCAATAGACAGATACATAGATAGATACATAGATAGATACATAGATACATTCCTGTTATGGTTACTATTACTGTAATGAAACACCATGACCAAAAGCAAATTTGGGAAGAAAGGATTTATTTGACTCATACTTCCACATTTTAGTGAATCATTGAAGGGGAAGCCAGATTAGGAACTCAAACAGGGCAGGAACATGGAGGCAGGAGCCGATGCAGAAACCATGGAGGGGTGCTGCTTACTGGCTTGCACATCATAGCTTGCTCAGCCTGCTTTCTTATAGAACCCAGGACCACCAGCCTGGGAAGGCACCACTCAAAATAGGCCCTTCTCCATCAATCTCTAATTAAAATGCCCTGCAGCTGGATATTTCCTTCCTTCTTTCCTTCCTTTCTTTCTTCCTTCCTTCCTTCCTTCCTTCCTTCCTTCCTCTTTCTTCCTTCTCTTTCTTCCTTTCTTCCTTTCATTCTTTCTGTGTTTTGCCTGCTTGTCTGCCTGCAGGCCAGAAGAGGGCACCAGATCCCATTATAGATGGTTGTAAGCCACCACGTGGTTGCTGGGAATTGAACTCAGGCCTGTGCTCTTAACCCAGTGCTCTTAACTGCTGAGCCATCTCTCCAGCCCCTCTGCAACTGGATCTTATGGAGACATTTTCTCAATTGAGTTTCCCTCCTTTCAGATAACTCTATAGCTTGTGTCAAGTTAGCATAAAACTAGCCAGCACTGAGAGAGAGAGAGAGAGAGAGAGAGAGAGAGAGAGAGAGAGAGAGAGAGAGAGAGAGAGATCTGGCCCCATTAGTGTCTGTCACTGTACCTTGGTTCTTTGTATCTGCAACTTGTTCCTGATGTGATGGGGGCCACTACTGCTTTGTAGAACATACTACATTCTATTGTTCTATTCCACAATGTTGATTTTTGTGGGTGTGTTGGAATTCTATGGTTAACATGTGAATTTTGTATGTGGCATTTTATAAACTTAGTCTATGACTGCTTTGCCAAAGTATTTTAGTTTTATAAGTCTATTAAATGAAAAAAATTCAATTTTGTAATCCTTTCCTTTCGTGTTGTATGACAATATCTAATATTTATCAGGCTAGTCCCAAAATTTCTATTCTCCTGTCTCAGCCTCTACAGTGCCTGGATTGTAGGCTTGTGCTACCATGACAGAAGCTTTGTACATCTTGCTTTTGGATATTGGCTGGAACTTTTAAACTGGTGCACAGTAACAGTGGTGATAAGCAGTACTGGTTAAAACCTTCCTATGAGCCGGGCGATGGTGGCGCACGCCTTTAATCCCAGCACTCGGGAGGCTGAGGCAGGCGGATTTCTGTGAGTTCGAGACCAGCCTGGTCTACCGAGCTAGTTCCAGGACAGGCTCTAAAACCACAGAGAAACCCTGTTTTGAAAAAACAAAACAAAACAAAAAACAAAACAAAACAAAAAAACAAACCTTCCTATGGACATTAGTGGAAATGCTTCTAAGTTTACTTCTAAATTGGGTTTTGTTAGGAATTTATTGTAGATGCCCCTATCATCCTGCATTTCATCCAGATAATGAGCTCCGTCTGGAGCCTCATAGACAACACCAAAAGCCTAGGCGTACAAGAGATGTGCAGCCGATCCTCCTGCCTCCTGTCTCCTGAGTGATGAGGTGACGGTCAACCACTCACCATCACACCAAGACCCTGTGCATTGTTCTTGTTTGCTTGTTTGTTTTTTAAGACAGGATTTTTCTTCTCTGTGTAGTCCTGGCTGTGCTAGAACTTGCTCTATAGCCTATATTTTTTTCTTTTCTTTTTCTTAAAAAATGTATTTTAAAACTTTTATGTTTTGCTGGGCTGTGGTGGTACATGCCTTTGGAGGCAGAGGCAGGTCGATCTCTTGAGTTCAAGGCAGCCTGGTCTACAAAGTGAGGTCCAGGATAGCCAGGCCTACACAAAGAGAAACCCTGTCTCAAAAACAAAACAAAACAAAAGCTCCATTTACTATGAATTTCCCGTAGAGGTGTCTGGCTTCGCTCCTGATGCAGTCGATGCACATGTGACATTGTTGTTCTCCCTTCTAGAAATGCGACACCTCAAAGCACAGAGTGCTGGTTGTGTCTGTGTGTCCTCAGTCTCTGCCTTATTTCGCTGCTAAATTCAACCTCAGTGTCACCGATGCATCCAGAAGACTCTGTGGCTTCCTGAAAAGTCTTGGTGAGTCAGTTACCTTTTATTTTTTTAGTTTTGAGACAGATTTGGCTGTCCTGGAACTCACTCTGTAGATCAGGCTGGCCTCAAACTCACAGAGATCTGTCTACCTCTGCCTCCCAAGTGCTGGGATTAAAGGCATTAAAGGCATGTGCCACCGCTGCCTGGCCAGTGACTATATTTTTTTTT